TGTCAAATTAGCACAGTTCCCAAACGCATTGCTGTGGGCCACAGGAGAGGGGACAGGTGCGTGCACTTCATGTATGTGTGTGTCTCCTAGTCCTACAGCAGTGTCAGTGTCAGGCAGCTGGAGAGCACAATTACAAAAGCTCCTTTAAAATAAAAGCTCCTAACTGTTTTAGGGGGAAGTACTTCAAAATCAACTTCGTCTTTGCAGTGACAGTAGGACTGCGAATGCAGTATCTGCTCTCAGGAGCACTTCTCCCCCCTGAGCAAGTTCAGGTATGGGAGGGGCCGACCAATACTAACACACTCCTACTGGCCTAAAAGAACAAGCATGGGTGTTTTCCAGGTGTATGAAAATTCCCAACTCGCTCCCCAGAGGGTGTTTTGACTGTGCTTTTGGCTGTGTGTTCATGTTATAATTTAGAAGGTGCTTTGGGTCTTTCAGAGGCAATGAAGCGCAGAAAGAGGGACAGCTGAGCTATGCAGATTTCGTGTGGCTCCTCATTGCTGAAGAAGACAAAAGGAGCCCCACAAGGTAGGACTTCTAGGAAGGGTGTGGAGAGACACATGCAGAAAGCTCATGGGATTACAGGAGACTGGGACCTTCTCGTTAGTGCAAAGGCTGTGAACCAGGATGAGCCTGGCTTGCGGTGGGAGGTAAGGCATTGACTTGCTGGATCACCCTGCACAGATAACTTGCCTTTGCCAGTGGAAAACTGGGTAAAAACAGACTTTTTACTTTTAAAGTGACCTTTTCTCTTGCCCCTGGATTTTATCGGTGGTCACAAAACTTCCTACCACATCCCACTCTTTCCCTTGCCCCATGTTTGCCTAAGGATACATGCAGGGAGCAGGGCTGAGGAGGTGAGAGAAGCTTTCATTTGTTTGCTCCATGCCATCATCACCACCAGCAGGCAGTCCCTGCTGCTGGCCTCAGCACGACTTATGCCTGGGCAGAGGACAGGGCCCCTGGCTGCCCCATGTCCCAGCACCCCTCCAAGGGTAAGGGAAGGCCACTACCTGAGCCATAACAGCAGTGGATGCTCCCAACTGCCTACTGAAGGCGTCCCCCCCCCCCCCCCCAGGTTTTGGCCCCACGTGGCGGGGGTTCCCCCCCCCCCCCCCAAATCCGGGGCCCCCGGTCCCCCCCCCCCCCGCCCGGCCCCCCCCCCCCCCCCCCCCCCCCCCAGCAAGGTTTAGGCTGAAGTGGCTGTGACTTCACCCCCAGCTGCCAAATTCAGTGCCTCCTGTTTCACCTTCCTCAGCAGGACCCTTCCTCACCTTGCCTGCATGGAGGACTATGTGCAAACGCTGCCAGCAGGCATGGGGCCTCCAGCCATCATGGAGCTCCCAAGTTGCAGGGAGGCAGTCAGAGCTCTCTCTGGCATGGAGGCTGCTGCGCAGGACGGGGTGGAGGACCTGGGCACCAGCAAACCATTTTGCTTCCCCACATGACTGTCCAGCCCCTACATGCCTATATCACCCCAGAAAAGCTCCTCTCACTTGAGCCCTCTCCTAATGTCATATAAGGATATGATCACAGATTGCGGTGGATGCCAGCTTTCTTCTGCCGCCAGGTCAGCATCCAGCTGGTGGTAGCAGTGCCTGGCAGGAGGCCACTTTGCCCTCCCAGAGGGCTGCCAACCACAATCCATCCCTCTGGCCGTGAAGTGAGTGAGCTTGAGGGCTTTGGCAACCAGTGCGTTCCAGACACCCTTGTCCAATAATGCATGTGCCTCTTTCACAGGATTGAGTGCCACTCCTGTTTTTGCCACACCCTGGGGAAGAGGAGGTGGCAGGAAAGCACAGACCGAGAATGGGGCATAGCTCCATCCCAGAGTATTATACAAACGTTGTCAATGTGGTGTTAAAGAGCTGCACTAATCTAAGGAACATGTGTTGCTGTCTCAGTGATTTTCCCTGAGCAGAGGACCCTGACTTTTGGGGTTCTGATGTGTGTTGATTTTTTAGGGATGCTGCTTATCAGAGAGGTGTTTCCTGCAGTGATTTGTACACTGTTAGTATAGGTCAGTGACTTGGGTGAGTGGGAAGAAGGTGGTAAAAAAGAGGGAGACTCAGTAGGATGCTGCTAGAACAGAAAAGTTCCCCTGACTGCCACCACTCCACTGCCCTCCTGCCAGATACTTGCCTAGTACTGACTCAGTTATAGAAACAATGAGGGTATGGGACATGCCTTTCAGAACTGGGATTACATATTGTGGTGAATGGCTGGGGAGAACATGACAAAAATTGCAATCCAGTGGTCCACTGATTCCATGCACTTGGCAGATGTGTGAACTAGCAGGTGTGGAAGAATACTACACAGCCTATCCTTGCATTCCCCTCTCCAGTGGCCTGCCACTCACACAGAATCACTGAGTTGTTTAGGACAGTGACTGGAGAGGGGGAGTAAAAACTGGGGTCCCATCAGTCCTGCCCCTGGCCTGTCCATAGCTAAAGCCACAGCAGTTATTTGAGAGCTTTGCCTTTTGCATAAAAGAGCACAGAAAACTATTTTAAACATTCCAGGCCTGCTTTAGCTCCTGCCAGGAGTTTCCCAGAGATAGTCAATAGCCCAAGTGTAGGGATCACCGCAGGCAATTAGCCTGTTTGGACAACCCCACCTTTGACTAGGGAGCAGTGCCTATACCCCAGGACACAGAAAACACAGAATACTGGGCCTTTGCTGGGAAACATAGGCCCAAGTACATTCATTAATACCAGTCACTGTGCTTCCCCTGCATTGTGCAGACACCAAACCTACTGAGTAAACTGACCCCTGTAGTGCTCAGGGCAGAAGCAGCAGGATCTGCCTCTAGCTGACTTATACAGAGAGGTTACTTTAACTGGTGCTTGGTTAGCGCTGCCCAAACCCCTAGAAGCTGCTCCAGCCCCCTCCCCATCATCAGCACTGAAGGCCAGTTGAAGAATAGGGAAATGCCTACCCCTGAGTAATTGAGGGTATTGTCAGACTCTGCTTTTATTTTGCAATTCATGGTGAATGTGGTATAGGACAGAGGACCTTGCACTGCGCCGATCTCTGGTGGCTAAGATAATATTGCTGGTTTCTGCAATGCTGCCAACATGAAAAGACTAATTCTCTTCTTCTTCCTTAGTATCGAATACTGGTTCCGCTGCCTGGATTTGGACGGAGACGGCGTGCTGTCTATGTATGAACTGGAGTATTTTTATGAGGAACAGTGTGAGAGGATGGAAGCGATGGGCATCGAGCCATTGCCATTCCATGACTTACTGTGCCAAATGCTCGACCTGGTAAAGCCAGACGGTGATGGTAAGAGCTGCTGTAAACCCCAGCCTATTGGAGGTGTTTAGTGAGGCCTATGCTCACTCTGTTTTTATTTTAAGAGCTCATTTGGGTTCGCTCCCCACTACGCCTATGTGGCCCATGTCCGTGCTAAGTGGTTGGACATGGGGGAGGAGAAGGTTGCTTGCACATCCCTGCACAAGCGGTAACAATCAAGCCCCAAGGAGTAAGGGGTTTATGGTGACTAACTCTTGCTAGATTAACAGTGCTACCTTTTTAATTTCTGATTTATAACGAGGAGGAGATGGGCCACAGCCTGCTCATGTCATGCCATGCCATGTATCATAGATTAGGGCAAACACATAATAGAGAGAGAAAAAAAACCAACAGAAATTCTCCTCTGACACTGCTGAGAGAAGTATGACAGCCCATTAACCCCACAATGAAATAGTCCATTAGGTAGGAGTGGCAGAAAGGCAATGCTGACATTTCATAAGCTCTGTACCAAATGAGTCAGGCCTGGTGGTTGAGTGTCTAAAGCTCCGTAAGGCCAGGTTCTGGACAGGGCCTGTGCGCCTGGCTCTACAGAGAGGGGGATCGCCCCAGCCAGGCTGGAGGGCACCTGTGGAGCCACAGGCTCTTCTGGCACTATCCTCACCCACACAAAGGGCCTGTGCAGAGCTGAGCTATGAGCTCTGCAGGTGGTGCACACTGCCTGCATAGTCCCACTCTGTCACCACTCAGACATGGCACTGCCTGGGGCTCTACCCCATCCTTTTCTTCATTGGCAGTGGAAGGGCCATTGCTACCCTCGGCCTTTTTGCCCATAGCCTCCCTTCTGCAGGTTGTGCCCAAAACTCTGGGCTTCAAACCCTTCCAGACCTTCCACAGGTCTTTCCCCCTCTGCAAAGAGCATTCCAGCTGCCTCTACTGCCTCAGAGTGTTCCATGTCCCATCAAACTGTACGGTTTGCTCCAGATTACAGAGCAGATCAAAGAAGCTGAAGGAGGACAGACTTAAGCTGCTCCTTATGGAGTGTTCCCTGAGACCATGGGATCTGATTCCCCCCATACATAGGCCTCAGCCTCTCAGTGTTCCAGAGACAGCTTCAGTTCCAGCAAGCAAAGCCCAAGGGACAACTTCTGAAGCCTCCAAACATTCTAAGCAGAAGAGATCTCAGTTTCCCGATAACCAGTCTAAGCACAGGGAAATTCACCCCAGAGTCCAGGGACTAAGGAGACCTCACATCCCTCTCCAGGTACTGCTGAGGCTTCTGCTTCTTCTGGCTCCATCAGAAAGGTCTACCAAGCACTCCACATACCGAGAAGTCTCTTGGCAAGCAACCCCACTCAGCTCTGGCTTCTGTATCTTCAGAGCCCTTCGAACACGGGGACTCCTCAAAGAAAGCACTGGCCCCAACTTTGGCATCCTCTGAGGGAAATAGCCATAAGGAGCATGTGGACCACATATCCATGTGGTCTCTGGTACCAATTGACTCACCTTACCTCAAGGACTACTGCCCTGGATCACCGGTTCCATCCTCTTTCATCTCACAAAGAACTCTGTGTGACAGAGGAGCATGAATCCCCTCTACTAAGAGGTATGGGGAGGATATCACTGTCGGTATTGATCTATCCGCCTGTACAACCTACCAGTCAGTATTAGTGCATCCTCCCACAAAAGCTCAGCCACTGGTCCTGACTCGGATACCAGCACCTACTCGGATGCTGGTACTGACATCACTAGCCTGTCTATTGGACACAGGGGTTGTTACATCTTCAGAATATGACATCTCCATCCAAGATTCAGCCACCTTCTCTTTCCAGCCTCCCTCCCTGTATCCTGGTGATGATGGTCTGGAAACTAGCCCCGCCAACCTTCGCAGGAGCATGCTTGGAGTCCCACTCCCTTTCCATACCCTGACCACAATGGGTTTTCTGGAATCCTGGGGCCCTCCCTGGTTCTATAGCGTACCCTTACATACAAGGGCCCATCAGCAGGAGCAGCCTTCAGTACCCAGGGAGCCCCTTCACTATGGAGCATCCCAAACATCCTCAAGGAGACTTTGAGGAGGACCAGTAGCTAAGAGCAGAGGAGGAAGCACCTCCTTCCAACAAATAATCCTCATCATCTCTGTATGAAGCAGTTATGCCCCCTCCACCATCCCATGCGGATTATTTTAGATTGTTCCAGGACCTGATGAAGAGGGTGGCCAAGACTCTACAGATTGCCCTGAAAGAGATACAAGAGCCCTAACACACTCTGGCGGATATCCTCCACACCACATCTCAAGGTAAACTAGTGCTGCCTATTCATGACATCCTCTTGCCTGCCACATTTTATGGCCTGGCGACACCTGTCACCATCCCACCCAAGTGCAAGAGGGCTGACAAAAAATACTATGTTCCAGCCAAGGGCTCTGAATATCCTTCTTCTCACCCTACCACCCATTTCCTGTGGTCGACGTGTGGTCAATGAAAGGAGCAGACACCACCAGGCAAGATCAGCTCCTCATGATAAAGAGCTCAAGTGCATTGATCTTCTTGGAAGCAAGAGCTATTTCTTGGCTGTGGTACAGTTCAGTGTCACCAACTATCACGCCTTGTTGGCAAAGTACTATTACACCAATTACACCAAATTTGCACAATTTATTGACTATCTGCCACAGGACCAGAAGGACCAATTTCAAGCCCCCATCTCTGAGGGACAGACAAGAGAATGAAGGGATTTTCTCTCTCCATACACACAGATTATCTAAAATGGGTCTCAGGATGCATCTTAGCATGTTACAAGGCTTCTGGAATGCACTCTCATCCTAGGGTGCTGGCCCATTCCACCAGAGCTAAATCCATTTCAGTAGCACTGCTTAAAAACATACCCATTATAGACATTTGCAAAGCTGCCACTTGGTCATCTGTGCACGCTTTTTCATGTTATTCATATCTCCAGCTAAAATACAGCCTTAGGTGAGGCTGTTCTCTGAACTCATCTCCGCAGCACCCTTCTCCGTAATCAAGGTACTGCTTGGGAGTCACCTAACGTGGAGCCCCCACAGGGGCAAAAACACAAAGAAAGGGAGGTAACTAACTTTGTACAGTAACTGGAGTTCTTCAAGATTTGTCCTTCTCTGGGTACTCCACTACCCGCCTTCTTTCCCCTCCACCTCAGAGTACTTTGTATGTCGTTGAGAAGGAACTTGACTGGCAGCAGGTCTGCCCCACCCTATAGACCTTTGGTCTGGACCTGCAGACACAGCTTAAGAAAAGTTTCCAATCAAAGGCAAACTGGTGCGCAGCCACCTAATATGAAGCACCCATAGGGACAAAAACATCTCAAACAATTCCAGTTACTGTATGAGGTGAGTAACCTCTCCTTTTCCTTAGCCTAGCTAAAATGTCTCACAAATTGCCTTTGTGCAAAACCTCTCTGGGAGGGGTGGAAAAGTCAACCATGAGATCAACAGAAGCAGTTTAACCCATTTGGTAAGCCCTGTAGGTGGTGAACTGGCCTTCACTAGCTCCCTACCTGTCTCTATTAACCCATTAGCAAATGGGTTAACTTGCTTTTGCTGACCTTATGGATGACTTGTGCTACTGTAGGCCTGGGTGACAAGCAAAAACACACCCCCAAGAGAAAGTTTAGGCACAGCACTACAATCCAAGACCTGGTGTAAAGTATTGAGTTCATAGGTTTTACGGCTTGAAGGGAACATTATGACCATCAAATCGGACCTCCTGCATTGCATGGGCTATGGCATGTCACCAGGCTCCTGGACTCTAGCTCAGCTGGATGCTCTCTCTTTTAGAAAGAGACATTTAATCTTCATTTAAAGATTTCAAGTGATGGCGAATCCCCCCCACACACACACATCCAATTAAATGATGGATTACCTGGTGGTTGTAATATATATTTCAAATATTATTTAGATTCAGTCTTGCTTAACGGGGGGGAGGAGGGAGGGTGAATTAAAAAGGTCCGTTGTAGGTTAAGATGGGGATCAAAGTATAGCCGGTATTGGAAGGTTCACTGCAAAACTGCACCTTCAAATCACCTTTACAGTTGAAGTAGCTTCTGTTCAGATTTCCCTCAGCAGCTTGTCCTGCAATGGAGCGATCTGGCTGAGGTAACCATGATGATTGCCTGATTTTAATCAACACAATGAGAGGAACAATGTGTAACGTTTTGGACCATGCCAAAGAAAAGAACCTTATACCAAACAGCAGGGCAGAAGCCACATACATTGAGGGGACTGGATAATGTCCTTCTGCAAGATGATCGCCCAGCAACACGTGTTTCTAAAGCACTGACTAAAACACAACAGAACTGTGCTCCGATTGAAAAAGCAATGCTGGCCATTGTTTTTGGTTGGGATGAGTTTCATGAGTATATGTATGAGCAAAAATTGGTCAAAGTGGAACCTGTAGGAAGCCCTAGCACAAAAAACAAACTGCAAAACACCATCTGGACTTCAGCCAATTATCCTGGAATTGCAAAAAATCAGTAAATGGGAAATACAGGCCTGGTAAGGAGCTGTTTACAGCAATAGCCTGTCAATAAATATGACTCAAGTACTACCCATTACTGACGCTATCTGATAAGCTCCCACAGGAAACACAAAAATAGCCCAATCTTACTACAGCCTGAGTCAATAATTCTACTGGAAGAACCCAGATACCTCTAATCATAAAACCATATTAGGACCAATGAAATGAAGTTGCTGCACATGCTGGCATGCTCTACAAGGGCCAGTGTGTCATGCAATATGGGGATTATAGTGCCAACTATTTATTACATAGCACCTGTCTGGGTCTTGAGTAACGTAAGAACACAGTCCAAGATGTGCTCTTTTAGACAGGCATGAATGCTGTGTGAAATCTGCATATAGGAAGCAGACTGCAAAACAATCACGGAAGCCATATGAGATGCCTCCTCGTCCTTGGTCCACGTTAGACACAGATCGATTTGCTTGTCTAATAAATGGGCATTGGCAGCCTGAAAAAACAACACACACTAGTGGTATTATCCTAAATTAGAAAAGACCTGTGCTAAATGGGTCCTGTCATGAATATAGGGGGAAGGGTAGCAACCTTTATGTATGCAGTAGCATAAAATCCCTCCTAGGCAGCTGTACTGGATTGCCTTACCTGTAAGGGGTTAAGCAGTTCAAATAATCTAGTTGGCACCTGACCAGAAGGACCAATGACAAAAGAAGATACTTTCAAATTGGGGTGGGAGGATTTTTTATTGTTCTCTTTTGTTGTTCCCTCTCCGGAGGGAGAAGCCAAGCAAGTACAATATCTCCTGAAAATATACCTGGAATAAGCCATCTAAAACCACAGGAATTGTAAGTAGGACAAGGAAATGCATTAGGTTATCTTTTGTTTTGGCTTGTGAATGTTCCTATGCTACAGAGGTAGTTTTATTCCTGTTTTTGTAACTGTGAAGCTGAGCCCAGAGGGGAATCCTCTGTGTTTTAAATCTTGTTATTACCCTGTAAAGTTACCTTCCATCCTGATTTTGCAGGTGTGATTCTTTTATTTTTTTTTCCTTAAAAGTTCTTCTTTTAAGAACCTGATTAATTTCAGTGTCCTGAAGACAAAGGGACTGGGCTGTTCTCACATTGCTGAGGCAACTGGTTGGTATATTATTCACAAGCCTCCCCAAGAAAGGGGGTGAAGGGATTTCAAGTGATCCTTCCCTGAATTTTTGAGTAAATCACTTGATGGTGGCAGCAATACTGTCAAAGGACAAGGGAAGGAATTTGTGCCTTGGGAAAGTTTTAACCTAAGTTGGTAGAATATAAGACAAGGGGGTCTTTCATGTGGGTCCCCACATCTGAACCCCAGAGTTCAGAGTGGGGGGGATGACCCCGACACGTCGTATCACTCACTAATTAAGAACGTGCTACTAAAATAACTTGTGCTCTTTCTGCAGGAAGGGTGATGCTGCGAGACCTGAAGAGATGCAGAATGGCTCATGTATTCTACAACACCTTCTTTAACTTAGAAAAGTACCTGGACAATGAACAGCGGGATCCGTTTGCAATACAGAAGGTATAAAGCAAAGTCTCCAAACATTGCTGCCCCAAAACTATTTTTAGGGACAGTGAAGTTTGGCTTGTTGTAGAGAAAAGCAGCAGATATGGAAAGAGGCTGGAACTAAAACAGCGTGCTGTAGGAAACAGGTGCTGTATGGGCATGAACATAATAGTGTCCAGTGGCTGGCCACACCAATTCCCATTCCCATCCGGCAGTGTATCCCCTAAGCAGTAGGCTGGGAACTGCTTCTCTACGGCCTTGAAGACAGACTTGTTGGTCTTGTCCAATGCATCTTTTTGATGGGCACTCCATCCACCACACCCATTCTCTGGCAACAGAAACAAAATGTAGCTCATTCATGTACAGCAGTGGTCACCATCCTGTCGATTGCAATCAACTTGTTGAGCCTGGGGCTCCCAGTCAATTGCGATCTCCGGTGGTGTAGTGGGGCTGCTGCTAAGGCAGGCTCCCTGCCACAGCCCCACGCTGCTCCCAGAAGCAGCCAGCACAGCCCCGGGGGGCAGGCAGGGGTCTCTACATGCTGCTTCTGCCTGCAAGCACCACCCCCACAGCTCCCATTGGTGGGGACCTGTGGTGAATGGGAGCTGTGTGGGTGGTGCCTGAGAAAGGGGCAGTACGCAGAGCCATGTGCCCCCCTTCCAGGGGCCGCAGAGGTGCGTTGGCCCCTTCCGGGAGCGGCGTGGGGCCGGGGCAGGCAGGGGGCCTGCCTTAACCTCACTGCACCGCCTGTGGTAAGTACTGCCCAGCAGGAGGCCACACCCCCAGCCCTGAGCCCCCTTCCAGAGCCAGCACCCCAAGGCCCTTCCCAGCCCTGACCTCCCCTCCCAGAGCCAGCACCCCATACATCCTCCTGCACCCCAACCCCCTAAGCCCCAGCTGATCCCCCTCCTGCACCCAAACACCCTCCCAGAGCTTGCACCCCTCACAACTTCCTGCCCCAGCCCGATGAAAGTGAGTGAGGGTTGGGGAGAGTGAGCAACGGAGAGAGAGGAGAATGGAATGAGTGGGGCAGGGCTTTGGGGAAGGGGCAGAGTAGATCCTGGCTTGCCCTTAAATTCAAAAAGTGATCTTGAGCATAAAAAGGTTGGAGACCACTGATGTACAGGGTTTGGGTATAAGGGCCAAGTTCCAAGTGTTTGCCCTGCCCATTGCTGGCAGAGAGTTGGTTTGCTGGACTGACAGGCAAGCAGGTAGCCCTGCCCCTCACTGCATTCATTGTCTCCGCTGTCCACTTGAATGCTCAGTATCAGCACCTTCTGAATTTTCTGCTATACTCAGCTTACATTTCCCCTAACTTAAAAAAAACAATCCTTTGACAGGCAGATTGTAGCAACAAGCCTACACAGTTCATTTTCAGATTTCTGCCACGGGTTGGGTTTCAGTTTACAGTGTCTTGGTGTAGATCATTAGTAGAAATTGTCAACCTTAATAAAAAATGTTTTTGGAGGAGAGATAGGAGGGAGTCTTGTCTTTCAGTAACCCATTGGTCAAATAACCCCAAATTTGGATCCATAAAAACTAGGTTTGTCAATTAATCGCCATTAACTCAAGTGAATAACGTAAAACTAAGTAACTAGATTTTAAAAATAATCCTGATTAGTCAGTTTTAATTGCACTGTTAATAATAGAATACCACTTTAAATTATAAATGTTTTTGGATGTTTTTCTACATTTTCAAATATACTGATTTCAATTACAACAACAGAATACTAAGTGTACAGGACTCACTTTATAGTACAACAGTGCCATGTGAACACCTACTCTCATTTTCAGGTGACATTGTAAATAAGAAGCAGGCAGCATTACCTCCCATAAATATAAACAAACTTGTTTGTCTTAGCGATTGGCTGAACAAGAAGTAGGACTGAGTGGACTTGTAGGCTCTAAAGTTTTACATTGTTTTCTTTTGTAGTGTAGTTATGTAACAAAAATATTAATTCTACATTTGTAAGTTGCACTTTCACCATAAAGAGATTGCACTACAGTACTTGTATGAGGTGAACTGAAAAATACTATTTCTTTAGCTTGCTTTTTTACAATGCAAATATTTGTAATAACAAATATAAAGTTGTCATAACTATAAAGGGAAGGGTAACATCCCTCCTGTGTACAATACTATAAAATCCCTCCTGGCCAGAGACTCCAAAATCCTTTTACCTGTAAAGGGTTAAGAAGCTCAGGTAACCTGGCTGACACCTGACCCAAAGGACCAATAAGGGGACAAGATACTTTCAAATCTTGGTGGGGGGAAGGCTTTTGTTTGTGCTCTTTGTTTTGGGGGGAGTTCGCTCTTGGGACTAAGAGGGACCAGACATCAATCCATGCTCTCCAAATCTTTCTGAACAAGTCTCTCATATTTCAAACTTGTAAGTACAGCCAGGCAAGGCGTGTTAGTTTTATCTTTGTTTTCTCAACTTGTAAATGTACCTTTTGCTAGGGTGTTTACCTCTATTTGCTGTAACTTTGAACCTAAGGCTAGAGGGCGTTCCTCTGGGCTCTTTAAGTTTGATTACCCTGTAAAGTTATTTTTCATCCTGATTTTACAGAGATGATTTTGACCTTTTTCTTTAATTAAAAGCCTTTTTTAATAACCTGATTAATTTTTCCTTGTTTTTAGATCCAAGGGGATTGGATCTGGATCCATCAGGAGTTGGTGGGAGAAAGGAGGGGGGATGGTTAATTTCTCCTTGTTTTAAGATCCAAGGGGTTGGATCTGTATTCACCAGGGAGTTGGTGGAAGAGTCTCTCAAGGCTACCCAGGGAAGGGAGTTAGCCCATTGGGAGTGGTGGCAGCGGACCAGATCTAAGCTGGTAGTTAAGCTTAGAAGTTTTCATGCAGGCCCCCACATCTGTACCCTAAAGTTCAGAGTGGGGAAGAAGCCTTGACAAAAGTGAGCACTGTACGTGTTGTATTCTGTGTTGTAATGTAGAAAACATCCAAAAATATTTATAAATACATTTAAATTGGTATTCTATTATTGTGTAACAGTGTGATTAAAACTGTAATTATTCGCAACTATTTTTTTTAATCGTTTGACAGTCCTAGTAATAACTCCATCACACACACCCTAGGTGTACACCAATTATCAAGGCAAGCCAAGTAGCTGTGCAGAGTTTAGTTCACTTAGAGATGTCCTTTAAACAGAAAGGGCTTCCTAATCTTAACTATGATAGAACTGGTCCTTCTTCTAATCTAATGCAAGGGTTTGTTTTGGGCACGTTCTTATCAGTAAGACAGTCTAAATTCCTTCCCATCTGTATTGTCTCTTGTTGTGTGTTTGCACAGCACCTCGCACAACATCTGAAGGCAGTGCACACCCAGGAAGGAGAGGAATTGTGCCATAGTGACCCAGGACTTTGTTACTTCTAGGCCCCACTGCTGCATTGCTACTTGGGGCCAGCATTGTATATTTCTTGAAAAACTCAGCTAGGGTGAAAGGCATGGCCCAACTCATACATGGAGAGGAGTTCTTTGAGCATATTGCCCCTGTGCACCAAGCTCTGCAAAAGCTGCGTGCTTGGTTGTGGATGCAATTCAAAGGAGTGTCAACATTTTCTAAATCCTGGAATGCTCTGAGAACCAGTCACTAGGCAGAGTTCCCTTGCTCTTACAGTATGTCCTGCCAGAGCAGTTCAGATTTGCAGTTATTCTTACTTGACATTTTTGGAATGTCATTGTTCAAGATGGTTGGCAAAGTATTCCACCTGTGTCCGAGATTTAAAGCCTAATACAAAACATATTTGTTTACTCGGGGCTTTGTTTAAAGAACTTGACCAGTCCATAATTTAAACTGTTTTTCTTTGATTAAGAGACTAAACTTGGATTGAGTTGTTTTCCTTAAGGCATTTTCAAACCCCAAGAGTAAGTGTTGCAGAAATGCAGTGTTTGTAGATAGGTGAGAAGCTTTTGCAAAACAAGTTTGTAGATAAGTAAGGACATTCCTATTTAATTTGCTTTTCTGATGTGTTTAGGATGTTGAAAATGATGGACCGGAGCCCTCAGACTGGGACAGATACGCTGCAGAGGAGTATGAGCTTCTTGTTGCTGAAGAATCTGGAAATGAGCAGTTACAAGAAGGGTAGGTGTTGACATTTGCGCAGCTATCTTACATTCAGTAATCCCACACATTTTGTATATCGAAAAACTGCCTTAAACTAGGCCACAGAGGGAGAGATGAGGGGAGCATTTGCTTACTTCAGATCAACAGGCAGATAATTAAAGCGAATGCTAGAAGGTAAAAAATAATCTTCATTGTTTGTTTCAGAATAAGAGTATATATGTATTACAGTGCTAGTATAGAAATGCCAGGCAGATAGAAAATGAGACCTTGAAATATTACTAGAAGATGGCAGTTGTGATCTAAAGGGCATAATCAAAACCAGCTGGATGATTGTCAAAAGTGGAATGTCAGTCTAGATGAGTGACAGGGTGGGTGAGAGAATATATTTTATTGGACCAACTTCTGTAGGTGAAAGAGACAAGCTTTTGAGCTTCCACAGAGCTCTTCTTCAGGTGTGGGAAATGTACTCCCAAGTGTCACAGCTAAATACAAGGTGGAACAGATTGTTTAGCATAAGTAGTTAACACATATTGTAAGACATTGGCTCTCAACCTTTCCAGGCTACTGTATCTCTTTCAGGAGTCTGATTTGTCTTGCGTACCCCCAAGTTTTACCTCACTTACAAATTACTTGCTTGCAAAATCAGACATAAAAATACAAAAGTGTCACAGCACACTGTTACTGAAAAATTGCTTATTCTCTCCTTTTTACTATATAATTATAAAATAAATCGATTGGAATATAAATATTGTACTTACATTTCAGTGTATCGTATATAGAGCAGTACAAACAAGTCACTGTATGAAATTTTAGTTTGTACTGACTTCACTTTTTATGTAGCCTGTTGTAAAACTAGGCAAATATCTAGATGAGTTGATGTACACCCTCCCCTCCCCCAGGAAGACCTCCACTTAACCCTGGTTGAGAACCACTGTTGTAAGAGACTCATTCAAGGTGAAGTAGCCAATTAACACTTCTTTAGTCATAGGACAAAAAGACGGTTTGGGGGGGGGGGGGGTTTACAGACTGTTATAATAAACCGTAAATCTAGTCTCTTTATTAAGACCATGATTTTTAGTGTCTAGCAAAGTTATGAATTTAAGATCCCAGGCTCATCTTTTGAAGGTGTTGTGCAGTTTTCCTTTGGGGATGAGGACAAAGAATTCTTTCACAATAATAACATCACCCCCCACAACTATCACCGTCAGTCATAAGAAAAAAGAACCATATGACTGGAGACCCCAACAGTGGATGAAATCTCACACTTGATCATTGCATTGATTGCTTTGGGGGGAAAAATTGACTGTGAAATCCTTAATCACCACATCCACCACAAGCTCTCCACTGTTGAGAGGACAGCTATATAGTTCCTGATACCTAACCACCAGATAGTGATCAAACAAAGCGGGTGCCATTGTAGTGCTTAGCTGTGCTGACTACATTAATGAGGCCAACTGACAACTCTCCGACACCACTTACTGTAAAGAATTCAAAAGACCTCACACCACAATTCACCCATAAATGTAAGGATATCATCAAATCCTTCCCCAAACAACTTCAAGGGAAACACTACACCCCCATCCCCAAAGAGCCCACACCAGGGACCCGCTACATGCTTCCCAAGATATACAAACAAGGGAACCCAGGCAGACTCATCATATCTGCCATGGCACGCTTACTGAAAGAATATCAGGATTTAGAGAAATCATCCTCAAACCACTCACCACACACAGGGCCAGCTTCCTCCAAGACAACTGACTTCATCCAGAAACTCCGCAACATTAACAACTCTTTCAGAACATCATCCTTCCCACTATGGATGTCACTTCCCTGTACTCCAACATCCCTCACCATGATGGCATAGCTGCTTGCCTCAAATATCTACAAGACAATGGACAACACTCATATCCACCCCAAATACATTGTATACTCATCCATTTCATCCTCATCCATAACAATTTAACACTCAACAACAAACACTTTGTCCAAACCATAGGAATAGCGCCATGGGTACTAGGATGGCTCCCCAATTATGCCTAACTCTTCCTGGACCACCTTGAGGAAGTATTTCTGGACAAATGCACCACAAAATCAATTATATACCTGGGATACTTTGATGATATTTTCATCCTCTTGACACTTGGCTTAAACTCCCTCATACAACTACTCCCACCACAACTTCAACAACCACCTGCCATCCATTAAACTCTCTCTGGAACACTCCCACACTCACATCAACTTCGTGGATACTGCGATCACCTTCAACAATGGAACCTTATAGCCAAGAAGTTTTCCAAGTAATATGGCTCATTCTGTATCAGTGACCTGTCCTTTTCATTATTTACCACTCCCATTATCTGTGTCTCATCTGCCAACTTTATCAGTGATTATTTTGTTTTCTTCCAGGTCATAGATAAAAAATATTAAATAGTATAGGGCCGAGAACCAATCCCTGTGGGACGCCACTAGACACACACATGCTCAATGATGATTCCTCTTTTACAATTACATTTTGAGACCTGTCCCAGTTTTTAATCCATTTAATGTGTGCCCTATTCATTTTATATCAGTCTAATTTTTTAATCAAAATGTCATGTGGTACCAAGTCAGCATCTTGCCCAGGAACAAATCATGCTGACAGGCTATCATTATCTGGGTCATCCCATTTACCTTTTTTAAATTATGGTACATTAGTTTTCTTCTAGTCCTCTGGAACTTCTCCAGTGTTCCAAGATGTATTGAAAAAAAATATAATAGCACAGAGTGTGCATTGGGCAGCTCTTTAAAACTCTTATATGCAAGTTATATGGACCTGCTAATTTAAAAATATCTATCTTTAATAAGCACTGTTTAACATCCTACTGAGTTACTTTTGGACTTGGTAAGTATTTCATCATCAGTTTTTTCCCAAATATAGAACAGAAATATTTATTGAACACTTCAGCCTTTTCTACATTATTAGTGACAATTCTACCATTTTCATCTAGTAATGGACCAATTTTGTTCCTTATATACTTGAAAAACTTTGTCCTGAACTCTGCTCTCGATAGTGTCCTTTTGCTTCCCTTATCAATTCTCTACAATTCCTACTTTCTGATTTACATTCACTGCTATCAGTTTCCCCATTTTTCCATTTGTTGTGTGTGTGTGTAAGGTTGTTGTCAGGTGATTTTTTGTTTGGTTTTATGGCTGCTTTCCCATCCCTTGACACCAGAACAAAGGAGCTGGCTTGACTCTGGAATCAATCCAAGTTCTTCATTCACTGGAGGGAAATTCTGTCTTTCTGCTTTGACTCAGATGTCTAAGGGTATGTCTACACTACGAAATTAGGTTGAATTTATAGAAGCCGGTTTTATAGAAATCGTTTTTATATAGTCGATTGTGTGTGTCCCCACATAAAATGCTCTAAGTGCATTAAGTCGGCGGACTGCGTCCACAGTACCGAGGCTAGCGTCGACTTCCGGAGCATTGCACTGTGGGTAGCTATCCCACAGTTCCCGCAGTCTCCGCTGCCCATTGGAATTCTGGGTTGAGATCCCAATGCCTGATGATGCAAAAACAGTGTCGCGGGGGATTCTGGGTACATGTCGTCAGGCCCCTCCCCCTCCGTGAGAGCAACGGCAGACAGTCGTTTCGTGCCTTTTTACCTGGGTTGTCTGTGCAGATGACATACCATGGCAAGCATGGAGCCCGCTCAGCTCAGCTCAGCGTCACCATATGTCATCTGGGTGCCGGCAGACGTGGTACTGCATTGCTACACAGCAGCAGCTAATTGCCTTTTGGCAGTAGACAGTGCAGTATGACTGGTAGCCGTCATCGGCTATCTGGGTGCTGGCAGACGTGGCACTGCATTGCTATACAGCAGCAGCTCCTTGCCTTTTGGCAGTAGATGTTGTATTACGACTGGTATCCGTTGCCGTCGGACTCCTCAGTGAGTTCGGTCAGAGGCGCCTGGGCAGACATGTTTTGTCTCCTGGAGACTCAGTCCTGCCGGCAGTCCTATTGCACCGTCTTGACGATGATGGCTAGCAATCGTAATGCAGCATCTTCTGCCAAGCACCCAGAAGATGCTGCACCGTCTGCTGCCAGCCTAAGATGTAAAAGATAGATGGACCAGATTTGTTCTGTATTCATTTGTTTCCTGCTCCCTCCATGAAATCAATGGCCTGCTAAACCCAGGGTTTTGAGTTCAATCTTTGGGGGGGCCATTCTGTGTGACAGTTTGTGTTTCTCCCTGATGCACAGCCACCTTTGTTGATTTTAATTCCCTGTAAGCCATGTCATCACTCGCCCCTCCCTCCCTCCCTCCGTCAGACAATAGTTTCGTGCCTTTTTTCAGCCCAGATGCCATAGCACTGGGATCATGGAGCCCGCTCAGATCACCGCGGCAATTATGAGCACTATGAACACCACGCGCATTGTTCTGGAGTATATGCAGAGCCAGAACATGCCAAAGCGAAACCAGGCGAGGAGGCGATTGCAGCGCGGCGACAAGATTGATGGAGAAATTGACATGGACATGGACCCGAGCAATGTGTTAATGGGGCAGGTTCATGCCGTGGAACGCCGATTCTGGGCCCGGGAAACAAGCACAGACTGGTGGGACCGCATCGTGTTGCAGGTGTGGGACGATTCCCAGTGGCTGCGAAACTTTCGCATGCGTAAGGGCACTTTCTTGGAACTTTGTGAGTTGCTTTCCCCTGCCCTGAAGCGCCAGAATACCAGGATGAGAGCAGCCCTCACAGTTGAGAAGCGAGTGGCGATAGCCCTGTGGAAGCTTGCAACGCCAGACAGCTACCGGTCAGTCGGGAATCAGTTTGGAGTGGGCAAATCTACTGTGGGGGCTGCTGTGATCCAAGTAGCCAATGCAATCAAAGACCTGCTGGTATCAAGGGTGGTGACTCTGGGAAACGTGCAGGTCATAGTGGATGGCTTTGCTGCAATGGGATTCCCTAACTGTGGTGGGGCGATAGATGGAATCCATATCCCTATCTTGTCACCGGAGCACCAAGCCAGCG